CTATTTGACCCAGCATTAAGGAAATGCTCATTTCATCTTATTATAGCCTTTATTTCATTCAATTTAATGAACTTATTAAATCCCTACTATATGGAAAAAGAAGATAAGGGCTCTTAACCTGAGGGTCCAAAAACTTAGAAAAAAACTTCATCTTTATTTTTACAACCTGTATTGGAATTTAGCATTTCAGTAATCAATGTAGGATTAAACTACCTTTTACTTTGCCATTAATAGATATTTTCATATCACAGTACATGCATTACAGATATCTCAAAATCTCATTTATATTTCCCCCTATTTGAAATTGAGAAAGTTATTAAACCCACTGCTAGATTTTATGATTTAATACATTCATGAAGATGCAGGCTAGGTTCTCTGGGAAGCGGATTCTGAGACGGAGTTTATCCTGCGAGATATTGAGGCAGTGTCCTTGGGGTCCATAGCTGTGAAAAGGAGGGAAAGGAAGCAGGACTGTGCAAAAGGAGAAGCCAAGCTGGGAGCCGGCCCAACAACAGCCTCAGCTGACCACCTGGGATCTCTGGAGCCAAAATGGACCATCGGAGTTGCCCCGTGTTGAACATTTACCTGCCCACTTGGGTCAACTGTGAGATACAGGGTTACCCTCGGCCATTTTCCCTGAGGGGTCTGTGTCCTGGACACCAGGTCCTTCTGTGGTAGGCAGAATTATGTCCCCACAAAAGATGCCCATGTCCTAATTCTTGAAACATGTGAAAACGTTACCTTCCATGGCAAAATGGACTTTGAAGCTCTGATTAAATTAAGAGCCTTGAAATGGGGAGATTATCCTGGATTATCTGGGAGGGCCCAGTGCAATCGCAAGGATTATGACTGAAATAGGCAGGCAGGAGTGTCATAGTCAAAGATGTGACAACAGAAGCCCTGCTGACACCCCCTGAGTTTAGCTTGATCAGATCCATTTTGGACTTCCGAACTCCAGAACCGTAGGATAATAAGTTTGCTTTAGTTTTAGGCCAGTAAATTTGGGCTCATTTGTTACAGCAACAACAGGAAACTAATACATTTTTTGGGCTTGGGTTGATGTCCCTGTCTTTTAACAAAAGGGGGTACCAAGAGGTGCCCACGTGACAAAGGTCCTCCCTGCCCCCATTGTATGGTAGCATTCCTACTTCCTGGCAATTATTAAAATCGATTCTTCCTGCCAAGGCAGTACCTTCTCTTCTTGCCTGCTACTCTCTGGACCCAAAGTGCTCAGGAAGCAGCCATAGCTTATAGTTCAATTAAACTCTTGCTGTGTCCCTAGGTGGAAGTTTTCCCTTTGGGGCATCATGACCTCTGACCCTGCAGAGCCTACGGCTGTGAAGATGAGCAGCTCAGATTCCCCACGGGAGTTCCTGGGAATGTTGGGAAATGGGACTACCTCAGCTTCCACCCGCTGGTTCCTGGACCCCTGTATTCTTTTCCTGTTTGGATTCATATAAATTCTATAGGTAACTAGATCTTAGTTCCAATCCTACCTGAGACACTTACATAAAAAATTTAAGCCCAGAGAGAAGTTAATGGCTTTGTCTAAGGTCACACAGGGTGGGTAAAGTTGCGATCCAACTGTTCTAAAACCTAAAATTTCTCCCTACCATTCTACCTTCTATGCTTCTGTACGGTGGGCATGGTGTGCTGAGTTGGCCAGAAAAATCTCTATTTCAGCAAGAAGCAGGGGCAGGGAGAAAAGGAAGGGATGCATTTTCTTGGCCTGAATTGTGAGCCATTAGCTACCTCTAGTGATTAAATTATCTGGAATGTACACTCAGCTCCACATTACATACAGTTAAATGTTTCTAGCATTCATTACTCAGTTTCATGTAGGCAGATGTGATCATTCAGTGTCAGGAGACCACAGTGTCATCAGCTCCCAGTCAGTTCTCAATTATTTTATAACTTAAAGGAAAGAAAATGAGAAATTTGAATAGAGATGAGCATTAATTTGATGTTACAGTTTATTTTACATATAAAAATGATGTATAGCCGAAGCATTGATGGTGATGATGAAATAACTACTATTTGTCATTTAATGAATACGCACTATGCTTTAGGCACTATATAAGAAAATTTACACACATACCGTGCAAGAAAATATATATATATACACATAGATAATTTAATCCCCTTATCAGTCAGCTTCGCTGTGATAACAACCAACACTCAAAATCTCAGTGACTCAAACAATAAATGTTTATTTCTTGCTCATGTTATACATGTTATATGTACTTTCTTGTGTTTGTTCATTCTGGGACCCAGGCTAAAGGAGCAGCCCTACAGGGCCTGCCATTCTGGTGGTGGGGGACACAAGGAAAAGTGGTAGAAACTCACAATGCCTCTTAAAGCTTCTGGTTGGACATGTCTATATCGTGCCCATTAGTTCTAGTTGCCATCACATAGCCAGGACAAAAATCAGTGTGGGAGTGGAGAGTGCGGGCAGTACAGATCACAAGGAAACAGGAGCGGACATATAATCCTCATACAGGAAAAGGAGAAAGGAAACAATTGGCAACAATAAGGAAACTACAATTCTGCAAGACTGGTATTAATCCCACTCACCTCTCCACTTCAGAGAAATGAGTAACTTTGCTAAGCTTCTTCTAAAGGGGGGAGATATCCCATCTAGTTGGGGTGATTAAGGGAGGCTTTAATAGAATTTGGGTTAGGGTTTAAATAGGATATTGGTGCATAGAGAAAGGGCAAGGACCTTGGAAGCAGAGGAAAACCCCAGAGTAGAGGTGGGAAAGATTTCTACTCAAACGAGTTAAGCTGGCCATAGAGTAGATGAGAAAACCGGAGAGGACACCCTCAGATGAGGGTGGGGTGGTGGGGTGTGAGACATGGGGGTTGAATGCTGAGTTCTTTTATTTCCCCTCTTTAATTCACCCTCAGATGAGGGTGGGGTGGTGGGGTGTGAGACATGGGGGTTGAATGCTGAGTTCTTTTATTTCCCCTCTTTAATTCCCCCACCCCACCCCACCTCTAAAAGCGAGGTGTCTCCTCCCACATGCTCACAGCATGCCCCAGGGCCTGGAGCACCCAGGATGTGAATCCAGGACCTTTGTAAAGCAGATATGCTAACCACATGCTACACTATAGAACCACCTTGAATACTGAGAAGTTTAAGGCTAAGGAATTTAACTTCACTTAGGGGTCAGCTAGAAGCCTTTCGATATTTTTGAGCAAACGCATGTTATGATTAAAATGATTGCTTCTGAGACTGAGCTGACTGGGGAGTTCAAGCTGTGCTGATATAGGGAGAAACAGAGAGCAAGGAGACCAGTAAGGGCCCCACATGTCCAGAACCAAGGGAAGGGTCTTTAGGATGGTGATGGTTGGAACAACACAAAGGTCAATTCCAGAGATTCTAAACCAATGGCTTAAGAAATGTGCTCCACCTCCATCATCCACATAGTGTTCCCGACAAACCCATGTAACTTTAATAGCCTGCTTTTCCTATTAATCTATAACATACAATATTGATTTTAAAAAAATATATAAGAGCTATGCAAATTAAAGCTTCAAGACAAGTTCCCATTTCCCCAGGACAAGATGGAGGCCCCAGAACCCCATACATCTAAACCCTCCCACTGCCAGAGCTTAAATTAGATGTTGAGGAAACCAAGCTAAAGGCCTGTTAGAAAACAAAATTCAATGCAGTAGGTTTTAAAGATCTGATTCACTTCGTTGAGGGATTCATGAATCAGGCAGCATCCTGTCTGGCAAGTGAAGAGGATTCCCCAGAAGTTGTACAAAATGGAAGGTTTTTATAGGCTGAAACTGGGCAGGACAAGAAAGTTATTACCAAAAGAAAAGAAAGGATTCTTTTAGGCAAGGGCACTTTTCTTTGGAGAAGAGAGGCAAGGGTCTTACCAGGCAGATTACCTCACTAGTGTTGATCAGAAAATGCCAGACTGATTGGTGTTTTAAAATTCCACTCCTGGGAGGAGCTGAAACTGCAATTAGGTATTAAGTTCTAGTTTTGGTCAAGTAGCTTAGCACGAGTGACTCCATTTTGGTCATTATCTCTTTCTTAACCATCCAAAGCTGGGAACTGAGTGGGAGAATAAAAGACTCTGGTCAGTTTCAATCGGAGGCGTGTTATCCAGGCGAGAATCTCCAGCGGGCACTTGAAAATTCAGATCTCAAGTTCTACTTACAGTTTAACCGTGTGTCAACAAATGAGATAAAAATAACTGTATATGTGAAAGTGCTTTGCAATGTGATTAGCACCATATGAACCTTTGTCTAAGATTTTATTCTAGGGTCACGGTTAGAGAACTAATAAGAGTCAAATGGTCAGCTGCATTAAACTGAGTTAGTCTGTTTTAAGAGGATTTGCTACGGAAAGCATTCACCGTGGTCAATAATGAAAAAGGTGGAAAGAAAGGTTGAAAGGAAGCCGCCCCAGGGAAACTGATCAACAAGGGGACGGTTTTAGGAGGCTGAAAAAGGGTCAGGGAGCCCGGTTGGCAATAAGCAGGCCAAATCTATGGGTGGCCTTGAGGTCCAGGGTGGACAGACTGGGGAGTGGGCCATATGGAAAATCGCCCAGGACCTTCGGAGATGACATAATCCCTGGAACAACAGAAAGGAAAGGGGCAGCAGACCTAGGAACGCGGCACCCAGCCTCTTCGCAACCACAGGGGGCAACCGATTCTCCCTCCCAAGGAAGGAGACCCTTCTGACAAGACAAAGACTCCAGCCACCCGGGAGACCCAGAGTGCGCGTGCGCCAAAACCGCGCGTGCGCCTGTCGGTCAGTGCCGCGGCCCGAGGCGTGAGGGGAGGGTGGACCGGGAAGGGAAGCGCTGGGAGGAGCGAGCAGGGAGGCCGTGGACTGCGAGCGGTGGGGCGTTCGCGCGCGCCCACTAGTGGCGGGAAGAGAAGACGCCCGCGGAGGCCTGACTGCCCGCCCCTCCCCAGGGAGGCTCGCGTTCCCGCTGCTCGCGCCTGCGCCGCCCGTCGGCCTCGGGAGCGCGCGCTCTCGCTGGTGCACGCGCTCGCAGTCTCCGTCACCCACCCGCTCCGGCACCAGCACCAGCACCAGCACCGCCGCCACCGCCCACCTTCTGCCGCCGCCACCACAGATACTTTCTCCTCTGCTTTCCTCTACTGTCCTCGCCCTCTGTCAACTATCAGGTAAGCGCGAGGCTCCGAAATGTGCCTCCGGGTCCGCTTTCTGCGACCCCATGCCGCCGCCCCTCAACCCCCGCCTCAGAGATGGGTTTCAGAAGGTGGACATTGGTGGGGGGCAACAGTGCGGGCCCCTTCTTACGCTCTCTGTGCTCCGGAGCTGGATCTGGGGCGGCTTGGAAAGGGACCCATGCAAGGGATGCACACACGCGTGTGTGTGTGTGTGCGCGGGTGTGTGCGTGCTGTGGGTTCCAAACTACACGCTTCACACGGACCCGGGCAGAGGTTGTGCCCACAGGGTGGGGCGCGGATGGCGGTGACCTGGGGGAGGGGGCTGCTATGCACTCTCCGCCTTTTGCCGCAATGGGCGTGTATCTGTGTGTGTGTCGGGAAAGGGGGGTCCAATGACGACCCCCGAAACCCAACCTGTAATCCGATTTCTCTGCCTCGGTTTGCCATCAGCCAGCCCAACGAGGTTATGGATTGGGTTCTAGAAAAGATGACTCCCTGCCTGCCCCTCCCTTCACCTCCTCGGCAGCGATTCCAGTCGGGCTTTCGCTGCCCCTGATTTAAGGCGGTGGCCTACCCCCTCCCTGTTTTCCTCCTTCAGAAACCCGCAGGGGACATTTGGGGGCTGGGAGTAGAATCGGGGAGTTGGGGAGGGGTCCAACCGCTGTCACTTTAGTTGCCCTTCCCCCTGCGCGCGCCTGGCACCAAGACGCCAGCAGCGCCGTGCCCGAGAGAAGGTAGTGCACGGATCCCAACGCACTAGGGGATGGGGAAGGCAGGGGTCACCTGGCCTTACGATGTGGATGAACTAGGCAACGGCCGACCCCGGCTCTCGGGCGCTCACAGCCGCAGCCCCTCACAGATCCGCGCAGGGGCTGCAGGTGCACTTCGGGGCGGGCCCGGCTCTCTGCGCTCTGCGCTCTGCGCCGGGCGTCCGGCTTGTGCGCTCCCTGCCGGAGGCGCGGGGCTGGCGCGCAGGGCTCGCCCCTCACTGCGGCAGTGGGTGTGGACCCGGGTGGGCAAGGAGGGGGAGGGTAGGCTGTGCCTCCTCTCACTCCCACCCCCGCTTTTTTTCCCCTCCGAACGCGAGGTGCCATCTTTTTGCGGCGTGTCACGTCTTTACGGTACCTCGCCAAGCCGGGTGGCTGGGCTTCGGAGGACAAGGCGGGGACTGTCATTAAAGGGGGAGGGGAGGTGCGATCAGCGCTGAAATCTTTGCGTTTTGCTGCTGAGGGCTTGAGCACTGGGGGCTTTCACCCAAGATCTTCCGGGGGGCTCGCTGCTTTGTTTGTAGGGATAACGTGATCTGCGTTGCCAGCCTGGGTTTTTGCCTTTTATTTTATAAGGGTGTTTAACCAAGGCCCTCGCCCCTTCCCCGGTGTTTCTCCCTTTGTTAGATCTCGGGGTTTGCTGGGGTCGATGAACTCGTCACGGCTCCACTAGTGGCATGGAACGGGTATGGCCCTGCGTTGCCCACTCCCAGAGTCGGGCTTCGCGCCAGGGAGCATCCATGGGGCCGCAGGGGTGGGTTTCTAGGTCTCCGCGCGCTGTGCGGGTGTCCGCGAGGGGACGACGCCCCTCCCAACACCCGGAGTGTCCTAGGGACCAAGCCCCACCAGGCTGCCCATGGGCACCGGCGACCCACGGGATGTGGGGGGCGGCTCGCAGGCGAAGCCCTTCTCGGTTTCACCCCCTGTTGCTTCAGCAGGCGGAAGAATGTGAGGAGGGGGCATGAGGTTTCCGCGGATGCTGTGGGCCACACCCATTTTCTCGGAGCGGACTGGGAGGGGGCGCGGAGGGGAGGTTGTCTTGGAAACCACACGCGTCTTGAGAACGGCCTTTGGGGCGTCGCCCCGCCCCTTCCGATCAGAGAATAAGAACCCTAGGGTACGCGGAGCCCCACCCTCTCTGGGGGCTCTAGAGAGAGACCCACAAACTGGAGCGGGTGGCTCTTTCTAATTGGCTTCCGGCAGCTACAGCCACCCAGATTATTATTGTGGCTGAATATTGTTTTAGAAACGTGCAGGAATATCAATTAAGAACCTGAATTCTCTGCTGCCCTTGAACCGGGGAATGAGGGCATTGGAGTGGGTACCGACTCCTGGCGAACAAGGCCGAGCCTTGCCCTCTCTTGTCATGAGCCGGGTGTGTGCGGCTTTCTGGTTAATTCTATCACTGAAAGCTGGTGCGGGGGCGCAGTTCTGCGAGGGATGAGCATCTTGGCCGAATCATCCACGCGAGCCGCGCAGATCGATACGAATATCTGTGGAATGGCTCGGCTAGGGGTCTAGTGTCGGCCCGGAGCCAAGACAGACCTTCCCGGCTGTCAAGGGTGGGAACCGGGGTTCCCAAGGATCGATTCGAACATCTTTGCCCCTCTCTCGCCATCCCCCCATCCCCTCTCGTACTAGCTGGGTATGGGATTCTGGTTCCAGCGAGGGTCTTGGGGAGACCATGGGAACTGGGAGCCAGCGGCATGGGGTGGACCACAGGCAGGAACACTTCCTGTCGTTTGGGGGAAAGCGAATACGGCGGAGGCGGCGAGCGTATTTAGCCGAATGCCGGGAACAAAGCGCAGTCCAGGCCTCGTGATTTCACTCCATTTTGGAATCTTGATGGTTTGGTGGGGTGCTCAGGTTTGCAAGGCCTGGGGGCTAGGCTGTTAATGGAGGAATCCCTGCGGCTAGAGGATGGTGCTTCGTATGTGGATCAGGAAACTCCATCCCTAGCTCTGCTGGCGCTTTAACTAAACGGCTTGCCCCCCCAAGATCTGGAGTGATGCAACGTTTGCGCCCAGGCTCAGACGGTGGAGCGCTGAGCCAGCCCTGCGCCTTGGGAAATGTCCTGTCTTGGAATGTCCAGCAGGCGGGGACTCTTTTACATCTAGGGAGACCCCCGCTTGGTTTCTAGCGCTCAGGAACCTGTAACTCCATGCCCTATCTCTGGACTGGTGCAGATTGGGGTGGATTATGGTACCCGAGACAGTGACTGCCAGGTCAGTCCCTCCAGGCCAACACGCGCTCAGGCTCAGGAGAATGGCTTAGAGTTTTATCTGGTCCTTATCTCTCCAATTGACTCGTCCTACAATACAAAGAGAAATGCCTTTCCTAAGATAATTACATTTTACATTTTATGGTGCTGCTTAGGTTTACCACATAAGAATTGCTTATCCATTCCATCTCCAAATCCTTCCTCAGAAGGAATAAATATAGTAGACGTACCCCTTCCTCCCACCAGCACCCAGTCTGCAGTGACTCTTGAAGCTAATCAATTCCTTGACCAACATTTGCTTCTGTAACAGGTTGTGTTTATTGCAATAACTTGGCTTGACTCTTTGGGGTTTACCTTTGGACAATCGGGGGCGGGGTTTGTTGGCTTTGCTGGTTTTTTTGGATGAGTGACAGTCCATAACTGTTCCTAACCCCGAAACGGACCTCATCTGCGCGTGTCCATCTTGGAAGGCATTGCTTTTAAGTGGTTTCTAGTATCGGGCACATCTCCCCTGACAGGAACAAAAGAAATGGCTTATTCCCACAATTTGCAAGAAGAAAACTTAGAATTGGTTTCCTTGAGGAGGGTCAGGTTTATTCCGTTTGGAAAAGAGCCCCTTTTATTGGACATGCCCTTTGACTCACATGCCCTTTGCAGTCAGTGCCAGTCTGGAGATGTAGTAGGATTGTGGTGCCCTTTGTTTAGGCTGAATTTTCTTTCTGCCCTTTTAACATCAGTTCATGAAACCCATTTGCTGAAAATTTTAAGAAATTGTGTTTTATTCCACCTTCCCTCAGCACTTATGTATATGTTTTGATGGGCTCCACAGCGCTGTGTATGAACATGTGTTAGTGTTCTAATCGAACACAAGATAGTTTTCCAACTAGACTGTGCCTGCTATTTAGGTAATTGGTGTCTTCCTCACTCCTACTTTGAAAAAGAATCACTTGAAAACAAAATCACCCATAGAGGCTTAATACGGTGCTAGACATACAATAAGTCTTTTGGCCCCCACTCACTAAACAAACAGATAAAATGGGAAGATGCGGGTCAAAAAGTAGAGAAGAAAAAGCAGATGGGAGGAGGGCTTTATTCAAGATTATGGCATCAGGAAGGTTTAGAGACAAACCCAATCCAATTTGTCCCCCACTCTATCCAAGTGTCATGTAGAAGGCTGCATGTGCCTCCCCATGTGCCCACACACCCACCCACCCACATTCCCACTGCGGCACTCCCCACTTACGGCCCCCAGCCTGGTCCCCTCTTCCCACCTCGCCCTTCTTGGCAGAGGGCACAGAAACCACACTTCACCCCAGGGGAAGGGAGACTCTACCCTGCCACCTTTGGGGCTAAAGATGCTCCTTGTGCCAGAGGGACAGAGGTGGGAGACCCCCTTTGCCTCCCTTCCTCTTCCTCCCACTCCACTTTTTTCATCATCCCTCTTCAGATTTACTCCCAGCCTTTCCCAGAAACACCGACCTGACCAACAACTCCTACCACCCTAGATGCTTCCACTAGTGACTTTGAGCTAGCGTAGAGAGGAGGGTCTTCAGCAGGTGGAGGAGAGAAGAGCCTAGCCTTACCAACTCGGCTGAAGCAGAAAGAGGACCCTGATGTTCCAGCTGGGGCTCTCAGCTGTTTGCCTGTAAAACAGATGTCTCGAGACATTTTTGTTTGTTTTTACAGCTGGGGGAGAGTGCTACTGGCATATAGTGGGTAGAGGCCAGGGATGCTGTTAAATATCTTACAAAGGCAGATAGTTCTCCATATCAAACAATGATCTGGTCCCAAATGTCACTAGTGCCAGAGTTGAGAAATCCTGCTATAGAAAGATCGTTGTTACCTTGGCATTGTTATCTGAATGGTGGTTTACATTTCCCGAGTGTCTTCTAGGAGGCACTGTTCTAAGTGTTCCCCAGACATTACCTCATTTAATCCTCACAACAACCCCCCTTACGTAGCAGGTACTCTTATTATCTCTGTAACATATGGACAAATCAAAGTAT